TAATAAGCATATAATACGAGGAAACAATTTTGGATTGGCAGAGAAACTTACCTTAAGTCCTGATGCTCCTAGTTATCCTCCTCTAATCTGGTCTCTAGATAATCACCTTTTTAATTAAATATGATAAATTAGTCACTTATTCTATTTGTAATTACTTTACCCGATTTTCCCCTTTTATTGTATTATTCGCATAAACTTTGGTTAATCACTTATTATTAATCAAATTACCTTATTAATTCAGCCATTAATTACAATATTTGAATTCTAATATTAAGTAAAACATCCACTTTTTATTCAATAATCACCATTAATTTTCTCTAATTATTATCTAATTACTTTATTTACATAACCGAAAATATTTATTTTCCTTATTTTATTCAAACATTATTTTTAGTCCAGAATATTATTTTTCAACCTCAGTGATTTATTTATTTCACCATTAATACTAATATTTCCTTATTTAATTACTTAACTAGTTTTATATGGCCTAATTTAAATAAATAGACTAAAAATCGACTTTATAAGTTAGTAACCGTCCATAAATATATTTTGGGTCTATATTAGACCTAGGTTGTCCAGATATCTATTTTATAATTATTTCCCATAATTATTCCTTTAATTTCATATATCTATTAACCGGTTTAATTACAATTAAATATACTAAACCTTATTTTTATTAATTATAAATGGTCCATAAGGTCCTAGTTAGTCATATATTTATCCTAGTTTACTCCAATATTTATTTCATAATTATTTTCGTCATTTAGTTAATTATTTACTAAATGTGTATAAATTGGCCCAATTACCATTAAATCAATTAAATATAGCTAAAAATATTATTTTCCAATTCTGGTTGGTCCGAATATGTATATTTATACTAGGTATATAATTTATATTTTTCCAGATTTTATTTATTTCATTTACTATTTTATTTTTAATTTTTATTGCAACTGGGCCGAACTGGCCCATTTATAATTTTTTCTGGCCCAACCTGAAAAGGCCCAAAAGACAGACCCAGCAATTGCTGGGTTGTCTTCTTCCCCAGGTCGCCGGAAAACGGGAAGAAAGAAGGGGGAGGGGCTAACCGCGTCGGACGGGCGAACTGTGGTGACAGAGCACTCCCTCGGGACGGCGGAGGTCTGAGATGGTCCGGCGGCGGCGGTGGCAGCTCTCTTTTCCTGCTCCGTTTCCCGTCGCAAAATCAGTCCGGCGAATACTCCGGCGAGCTTGTTCTCCCTACTCCGACGTCCGTTTTCCACGATTCTTTCTCCGTTGGATTCGTCTCGCGAAGGGGAAGGTTTGAGAAGTATTTTCAAGGCTTAGTTCTAGCTAAAACGATGGGTCGCAATTTTATATATATATATACGTATATATGTATGTATTGCTCAGATTTTGGGATGAAGAAAACGCAGGTTCTGGCCTATTATTTATAGGGAAAGATGAGGGTTTTAGGCTGAGATGTTAGAGGTGGAGTGGGATTTAATCAATTTCGTTTTTTTTTCTTTTTGAAGTTGCCGGCCAACAATTTACGTATAGTATTGTAATTAGGTTAGGTAGTTGAATATGTATTATAGTAGGAGTATAGTATTATAGTTAGGTTATAGTAGTTTATTTAGGAGTATAGTAATTATATTTAGGTTAGGTAGCTTAGTTTAGTTATATTACGTAAGTAATATTACTTAGGTTATACTACTCTTACTACGTACGTATATCTATATATATATATATGTATGTATTAAGATTATTTTAATTATTTAGTTTATATTTTGTATATTATACAATCTAAAATAGTTATATAAAAATTAATTTTATACTAAAACATAACTTCTATTATCGGGCCATTTTTATCTGATTAAAAAGTCGTAAACTTGGAAATTTTCTGTCTGGTTTACTTGTTTAATAAAATGTTGTTCCTATTACTGAAATATTTTTATCTGACTAAAACGTCATAAATTTTGACATTTTATCTGTTTAGAATTTTACAACTGTTGAATTTTTTTTGTCTGACTCAATTAATTATTAAAATGTTATTTTCGTAAAATTTTTATCTGACTAATAAAAATTATTTTTATTTTTTTTTATTTAAATTTTTGAAGTGTCACAACATGTTCTAGAACTCGGTATGATCTTTCCAACGAGATATTAAACACTTTCAGCGGCACAAAATAGAGCAAGATATGATCGCATCAAATTCTACACGAGTTCGGAGTGAAATCAGAAACATTTGTGAATATATGGTTAATCTGTAACTTTTAATTAATTCATTGTAAATGAAGTTGGAACAATAGCTTTACAGCTCCGATCTATCTTTCCAACGAGATATAAATCGCCCAAAACGGATAAACACACAGCAGGATATGAGTGTCACAAATACTTAGCCTTATCTCTATGATCTAGCGTTTTCAGCGAAAATAGAGCACTCTTGGCGTAAATACAGTGTATTTTAGTAATTAGGCAATCATCCCTTGATATTGTGAAACCAGCGCCAAAAGACAAGTTTTAGAACTCGGTAAGATCGTTCCAACGAGATATTAAACGCTTTCCACGGCACAAAATAGAGTAAGATATGATCGCATCAAATTCTACACGAGTTCGGAGTGAAATCAGAAACATTTGTGAATATATGGTTAATCTGTAACTTTTAATTAATGCATTGTAAATTAAGTTGGAACAATAGCTTTAGATCTCTGATCTATCTTTCCAACGAGATATAATACGCTCCAAACGGATAAACACACAGCTAGATATGAGTGTCACAAATACATAGCCTTATCCCTATGATTTAGCATTTTCAGCGAAAATAGAGCACTTTTAGCGTAAATACAGTGTATTTTAGTAATTGGGCAATCATCCCTTGATATTCTGAAACCAGAGCCTGAAGACAAGTTTTAGAACTCGGTAAGATCTTTCAACGAGATATTAAACGCTTTCAACAGCACAAAATAGAGCAATTTATGATCACATTTAATTTTACACGAGTTCGGAGTGAAATCAGAAACATTTGTGAATATATGGTTAATCTGTAACTATTAATTAATGCATTGTAAATGAAGTTGGAACAATAGCTTTAGAGCTTCGATCTATCTTTCCAACGAGTTATAATACGCTCGAAACGGATAAACACACAGCAAGATATGAGTGTCATAAATACTTAGCCTTATCTTTATGATTTAGCGTTTTCAGCAAAAATAGAGCACTTTTAGCGTAAATACAGTGTATTTTAGTAATTAGGCCATCGTTCCTTGATATGTTGAAACCAGCGCCTGAAGACATGTTTTAGAACTCGGTAAGAACTTTCCAACGAGATATTAAACGCTTTCAACGACACCAAATAGAGCAAGATGTGATCGCCTCAAATTCTACACGAGTTCGGAGTGAAATCAGAAACATTTGTGAATATATGGTTAATCTGTAACTTTTAATTAATGCATTGTAAATGAAGTTGGAACAATATCTTTAGAGCTCCGATCTATCTTCCCAACGAGACATAATACGATCCAAACGGATAAACACACAGCAAGATATGAGTGACACAAATACTTAGCCTTATCTCTATGATTTAGCGTTTTCAGCGAAAATTGAGCACTTTTAGCGTAAATACAGTGCATTTTAGTAATTAGGTAATCATCCCTTGATATTTTGAAACCAGCGCCTGAATACATGTTCTAGAACTCGGTATGATCTTTCCAACGAGATATTAAACACTTTCAGCGGCACAAAATAGAGCAAGATATGATCGCATCAAATTCTACACGAGTTCGGAGTGAAATCAGAAACATTTGTGAATATATGGTTAATCTGTAACTTTTAATTAATTCATTGTAAATGAAGTTGGAACAATAGCTTTACAGCTCCGATCTATCTTTCCAACGAGATATAAAACGCCCAAAACGGATAAACACACAGCAGGATATGAGTGTCACAAATACTTAGCCTTATCTCTATGATCTAGCGTTTTCAGCGAAAATAGAGCACTCTTGGCGTAAATACAGTGTATTTTAGTAATTAGGCAATCATCCCTTGATATTGTGAAACCAGCGCCAAAAGACAAGTTTTAGAACTTGGTAAGATCGTTCCAGCGAGATATTAAACGCTTTCCACGGCACAAAATAGAGCAAGATATGATCGCATCAAATTCTACACGAGTTCGGAGTGAAATCAGAAACATTTGTGAATATATGGTTAATCTGTAACTTTTAATTAATGCATTGTAAATTAAGTTGGAACAATAGCTTTAGATCTCTGATCTATCTTTCCAACGAGATATAATACGCTCCAAACGGATAAACACACAGCTAGATATGAGTGTCACAAATACATAGCCTTATCCCTATGATTTAGCATTTTCAGCGAAAATAGAGCACTTTTAGCGTAAATACAGTGTATTTTAGTAATTGGGCAATCATCCCTTGATATTCTGAAACCAGAGCCTGAAGACAAGTTTTAGAACTCGGTAAGATCTTTCAACGAAATATTAAACGCTTTCAACAGCACAAAATAGAGCAATTTATGATCACATTTAATTTTACACGAGTTCGGAGTGAAATCAGAAACATTTGTGAATATATGGTTAATCTGTAACTATTAATTAATGCATTGTAAATGAAGTTGGAACAATAGCTTTAGATCTTCGATCTATCTTTCCAACGAGATATAATACGCTCGAAACGGATAAACACACAGCAAGATATGAGTGTCATAAATACTTAGCTTTATCTTTATGATTTAGCGTTTTCAGCAAAAATAGAGCACTTTTAGCGTAAATACAGTGTATTTTAGTAATTAGGCCATCGTCCCTTGATATGTTGAAACCAGCGCCTGAAGACATGTTTTAGAACGCGGTAAGAACTTTCCAACGAGATATTAAACGCTTTCAACGACACAAAATAGAGCAAGATGTGATCGCCTCAAATTCTACACGAGTTCGGAGTGAAATCAGAAACATTTGTGAATATATGGTTAATCTGTAACTTTTAATTAATGCATTGTAAATGAAGTTGGAACAATAGCTTTAGAGCTCCGATCTATCTTCCCAACGAGATATAATACGATCCAAACGGATAAACACACAGCAAGATATGAGTGACACAAATACTTAGCCTTATCTCTATGATTTAGCGTTTTCAGCGAAAATAGAGCACTTTTAGCGTAAATACAGTGCATTTTAGTAATTAGGCAATCATCCCTTGATATTTTGAAACCAGCGCCTGGGAAACCGGAGCCTGAAGCGTCTATGAAGAATTTTTTCCGTTAGCTCCAGCTTCTCTCTACGAAATCCGTACACTTCTTCTTCCCCATTGCGTTTTTTGTTCGTTCTTGTTTTCTTCCTTGGATTTTTGGGTGTTTGAGCTCGAACATTAACTGTAATACATCTTCCTTCCCTTAGGGGTGTATTATATTTAATTTTTTAGCTCAAAACCTGAATTCTTTGGAGGGCTGGAGCAACATTTTTCGCACAAACACTATTCATACACGAAAAACTCTTTCTTAGATCCCAAAGCCTCCTTTTGAGCTAAGATGATTCTGGATATGGGGTGAGAATCGCCTCTCCTTGGCGCACCACATACTCTAACCTTAGCTTCATCCCCCCTATCCGTACAATCAACTTTGTGACCGTTTGTACGGACATTTACTCCATTAGTACGGACAACAAGCTCAAAGAAGAAAAGAAGAAAACAAACTTGGTCTTTGAAGGACTCTTGGAGGCGTTTTGTGCTTACAACGTCCTTGGATGCTCACCTTGACCTTGGATAGCTTGGGACACACCTCCTAGCTATGGTCAACACTCGGAAGCTTGCCAAGGCAGTGTCTCCCATCGCTCCTATGACTGGGAAAAACAAATTGAAGTCAGTCAAGAAACTCCAAGCTCAACACATGGAAGCTAAGATGTTGGATGAAATGGAGAAGAACATATCCTCTACCAAAGGAGATGAGGAGGTTACCAGTGAGTTGAGGCCAGAAAATACCAAAAACAAGGGGGCCAGCAACACTAAGAAACCACCTACCCAAGATGTGGCAAATGACAACACAAACAACAACAACATAAAGGTAACTTCTTTGGACACCAATATTGTGTGCGAAAATGATGATGTATTAGCGTTGGAAAAAGTTGGTGGGGGGTCTGTCTTACAGAATGAAATAGGTATTTTGGCTGTTGGAAACATTAAAGAGGTCCCTCACCAATCCATTAATGAAGAAATTGTGCAAAATGAAGGCTGTTTGGCCGAGATAGTGAAGACTACAAATGCTAGTATGGAGGCTGTTTTGGAGGCTGTTTTGGAGGGGGGTTTTGATTACCAACCTTTGGGGGTTGTTAGACCCATTAATGTGGTTACTCCTACACCCATTAATGAGACCACATCCTCGGATTTGGAGCAAGATAGGGCAATTGAAAAAGAAAAAAACGTTGAGGTTGAAAAGGAACCATGTGAAGATGATGTCTATCTTAAGGCCATAAATAGGACCAAGAAATGGAGTACTAATGGAGATGCTTCTACCTCTCAAGGCACCAAACAAACTGTCCAAGATGCCCCTAAACCATGGTCCTCCTTATTTACTAATAATAGGGAACCATCCCAAGGAATGAAACTTACTTACATCCCACCTACCGGAGATATGGTTGACCTTTCTAACTACACACTTCCCTCCATGGTGGAGCTATGGGGGTACTGTTTGGTTGGCTACTTTGTAGGGGTGTTTCCCGGACCTAGGGCAGTCAACGCTATGATCCAAAAATGGGGGGTTCCTTGCAAAGCTAGACCACATAGCAAAGGATGGATTATCTTCAAGTTCCAAAGGGAGGCGGATAGGGATCAAGTCCTTCTAGATGGACCTCATTCCATCTATGGGAAAATGTGCTACTTGAAAGTCCTTGATGATAACTTCTCAACACATAGTGATGAATTCCTCAAAGTGCCTATATGGGTCAAATTTCATGGGCTGCCCATGAGGGCTTGGAGAGAGGATATCCTAAGTGCCGTGGCTTCTAGAGTGGGTAAACCATTGGCTACGGATAGGGTGACACAAGAGAAAGCTAGATCTTCATATGCTCGTGTTCTAATTGAAGTAGATGCGGCCAAGCCCCCTCCACTCCAATTTGATGTCAAACTTCCATCCGGGGAGATCTATAGCCAAGGCGTAGTGTATGAAACCTTTCCAAACTATTGTTTTCATTGCAAGATGTTCGGCCATCACCCCTTCACATGTAAAACACTCCATGACTTGGAAAGGAAAGAAAGAGGAGAAGAAGTACCCCCCCAAGAACCAAGGAAAAACACTACATTTCAAAGAGAAGAACAAAGAAGGCAAATCTATACTATCAAAGCTAAGAATAGATGCTATCATGAGGAGCATCCAAAGGCCGAGCCCACCAAGAGCAGCCATGACCAGCCCGTGGCAGAAAGTTTGGAAAGAGAAGAGGGGGAGATCATTGAAGAGGAAGCCACAATCTTAGAAGAAAACCCCCTTGCCTTGATCTTGGCCACACCTAACATTGAAAGTGAAGAACAAAAAGAAGAAGAACTAGTGGATGAGCTTGACAAAATCATGGCTAACAAAGAAGAGGAGCAAGGGACATCAAAGGAAGAGAAGGAGGATGTTGATTTGGAAGTAAGAATTATCAATGATATCCGAGATAGCTACCATGATGATGTGGTCATTCAAGTAGATTTCATTGAAGGGAAGCCTCCCAATCTTCACATGGCCCACATGAATGAGCTAGAACTAACCATGAAGCCGGGGGAAAAGCTTGTGAGACTTGATAATTGCCTCTCAATCACCGATGACTTGGATGCACCGGGGATTACATTCACTAAAGCTTGCCTAGAGGGGCTGCCTGGGGTGATCCAAATAGAGGACGGGTATGCTTTTGATGCTTTCTTTATGCGTAATATTCATCATCTTTTTCTTGGTAGGTATTTTAGCGAAAATGGCCTTCAAGGCAACACATGGAAGAAAAGGCCATGGCAAGGAAGGAAAAAGAGGATCAAGGATGATGGGGGAACCAACTCAATTGTTTAATGATCATTACGGCATGGAACATAAGAGGCCTTAATAAGGTCTCAAAACAATCTCTTATCTTTAATTTTATTCGTGCTCATAATGTACATATGTGTTGTTTGCTTGAAACTAAAATGTCTACTTCTAATTTTGAAAAACTTAAGGAAAATAGATGGCCACTATGGTCTTCTATTACCAATTTTGATACTATAGATGGTGGCCGCATGGCCCTTATGTGGAATACGAACTATGTTGACATAGATGTGCTTGAAATTGACAAACAACATATTCATTGCAAATGTGTGTGTAAGACTACACAATTGAATTTTATGGTTACTTTTGTTTATGCCTTGTACTCGGTGGGGGTGAGGAGAACCCTTTGGGATCACGTTACCAATTTGGGATCTACCATAAGTAGTCCTTGGCTAGTTATGGGGGATTTCAATTGTGTTTCTTCCCCTAGTGAAAGGATTGGCCCCACACCACCCTCGGCTTATTACTTACAAGACTTAGTTGACTTCAAGCTTAATGCAAACCTTATTGACACTCCTTCCACCGGTGAATTTTTCACTTGGAATAGGGGTTCACTTTGGGCTAAGTTGGATAGAGTTTTAATGAATTCTTTTTGGAATACTAATGGTATCACTTGCAAAACACATTTTCATGATATGGAGGTGGAATGTGACCATGTTGCACCATTGGTTACTTTCGGCCATAACCCCCCCTTGGGGTCAAAACCCTTCAAATTTTTCAACATGTGGCTTAAACATGAGTCTTTTCCCTCTATACTTCATGAGAATTGGTTTATGCATGTAATGGGCAATGCCCAATTTCGGTTAGTTAAGAAACTCCAAGCTCTTAAGAAACCACTCAAGGAACTTAACAAGAATGCTTTTGCTAATATTTCTTCTAAGGTAAAGGACTCAAAGAAAGAATTTAAGAGATTACATAGTCTTCTCTTACTTTCCCCTTTGGATGATACCTTAAAGAATGATGTCCAAGTAGCTAAGAAGAGAGTGCTTTTTCTTAAAATGGCCGAGGATGCTTTTTATAGGCAAAAAGCGAAGGCTATTCATTTGATCCAAGGGGATAGATGTACCAAATACTTCCACTCTATTGTGAAGAAAAGGGCTGCCAAGAACTCCATTACGGCTTTAAAACTAGCCAATGGGGAACTAACTACCTCTATGGATCAAGTTGCTAAGGAATTTGAGAATTTTTATGTCAATTTGTTTGGAACCCCGGTAAGTTGTCCTCCAATTGAGCCTAGGATAATTACATCCGGGACATGTCTAGGTACGGACCAAGCTTTAGGGCTGATTTCCCCCGTTTTAGACATTGAGATTAAAAATGCTATGTTTGATATTGGGGATGACAAGGCCCCGGGGCCAGATGGTTTTACCTCTGCCTTTTTTAAAGAAAATTGGTCAATTGTTGGGGAAGATGTGGTTGAGGCCGTGAGGGGCTTCTTTGAGTCTGGCAGGTTATTAAAGCAAATCAATCACACGATTATTGCTTTAATCCCTAAAACCTCACACTCCCCCACAGCTGCTGATTTTAGACCAATTGCATGTACAAATGTTCTTTATAAGGTCATTACTAAAGTCATTGCTAATAGAATGATTCCATGTTTACCGGGGCTAATTGACCATGCCCAGGGGGCTTTTGTAGATGGGAGGCTTATGATGGATAACATTTTCCTTGCACAGGAATTGGTAAAGGGGTACACTAGGAAGCATTGCTCCCCCAGGTGTATGATTAAGGTGGACCTCAGGAAAGCCTATGACACCATTTCTTGGGACTTTCTTTACAGTGTACTCCTTAACATTGGTTTTCCTTTACAATTTGTTAAATGGATTATGGAATGTGTCTCTACCGCTTCCTTTTCTATCTCCATCAATGGAACATTACATGGTTTTTTTAGAGGGAAGAGGGGATTAAGACAAGGTGATCCTATGTCCCCACTCCTATTTGTTTTATGTTTGGAATATTTGTCAAGGTTGTTAAACTTGAGAACTACATCTGATTTTAACTTTCATCCCAAGTGTGGTAGCTTAAAGATTTCACATCTTGCCTATGCTGATGACCTTATGTTGTTTTGTAGAGGTGATACATATTCTGTTAAAGTTTTGATTGATGCATTGAATGAGTTTGGGGAGGTATCAGGGTTAAGAGTTAACTTTGACAAATCTAATATTTTCTTGGGAGGTGTTAGAGACCATGACCTTACGGCCATACTTGACTTGGTGGACTTCAAAGTTGGAGCCTTCCCTGTCAAGTACCTCGACATTCCCCTCTCCCCCCTTAAACTAGCTATAGCTGAATATGCCCCCCTTTTGGAAAAGATCTCTGATTATCTCAGCTCATGGAACACCAAGACTTTGTCATATGCTGGTAGAACTGAATTGATTAAATCTGTTATTCAGGGAGTACATTCTTTTTGGTTACAGGTGTTTCCTATACCCCAAGCCATCCTTGATAGAGTGGTCTCAATTTGTCGTATTTTCTTTTGGGGATGCAAATTTGCCAGAGTTGCTTGGGCAGATATGTGTCTCCCAAAGGAGGAGGGGGGCTTGGGTATAAGACATACTAAAACTTGGAATAATGCTTTAATCTCTAAGACCCTTTGGGATATTCACCTTAAACGAGACACACTTTGGGTGAAATGGGTGCATGGAGTCTATCTTAAAGGTAGATGTGTGTGGGAATTTTCCCCACACACTAGGGACTCCCAGCTTACTAAGAAGCTAGGGCTGATCCGAGACATCCTTGTCTCAAAATATGACTCCATTGAGACCACAGTAGCAGCCCTCTCTAAGATGGTTACAAATGGGAAACTGTGCTCTTCAAATGTGTATGACTTGATTAGAGTTAAGGGCACTAAACAGGTGTGGATGCCCTTTATTTGGAAAGCTTACATACCTCCTAAGTTCTCATTCATTGCATGGCTTGCCTTCCGCAACCGCCTTGCAACGTATGATAATCTTAGTAGGCTTGATGTGATTAACATTTGTCCATTTTGCAAGGGTGAACCGGAGACGGTGCCACACCTTTTCTTTGGTTGTCAATTTACAGGCACAGTTTGGAGCAAAGTAAGAGCATGGATTGGAATACCTAGACAAATGTCTACTCTGGAAAGCTCAGTTAAGTGGATTAGGAAGGAGCATGCAGGTGCGGGGATCAAGGCCAAGGCAGTCAGAATTGCATTCATCTATACTATATACTGGTTATGGAGAGTTCGGAATGCCACCAGATTTGATGATAAGAAGACCCAAGAGGAAGAAGTTTTTGCCAGGATCCAATACATGGTGTATAAGATCCTCTATAGTATTTATCCTCATGAGCTTATTACGTTTTGAAATTTTATAGGGTGCGGCTACATGCCTTTTTTGTGTGATTTGGGACTGATTGTATAGCCCACAGGTCTATGGTATATCCCATGTTGGGATAGCCCCATTTTTGTCCCCCACTTTTTTGCTTTACTTGTACAGAAACTCTTTTGGATGATATATATAATTACCCTTTATCCAAAAAAAAAATTGAAACCAGCGCCTGAAGACATGTTCTAGAACTCGGTATGATCTTTCCAACGAGATATTAAACACTTTCAGCGGCACAAAATAGAGCAAGATATGATCGCATCAAATTCTACACGAGTTCGGAGTGAAATCAGAAACATTTGTGAATATATGGTTAATCTGTAACTTTTAATTAATTCATTGTAAATGAAGTTGGAACAATAGCTTTACAGCTCCGATCTATCTTTCCAACGAGATATAAAACGCCCAAAACGGATAAACACACAGCAGGATATGAGTGTCACAAATACTTAGCCTTATCTCTATGATTTAGCGTTTTCAGCGAAAATAGAGCACTCTTGGCGTAAATACAGTGTATTTTAGTAATTAGGCAATCATCCCTTGATATTGTGAAACCAGCGCCAAAAGACAAGTTTTAGAACTCGGTAAGATCGTTCCAACGAGATATTAAACGCTTTCCACGGCACAAAATAGAGCAAGATATGATCGCATCAAATTCTACACGAGTTCGGAGTGAAATCAGAAACATTTGTGAATATATGGTTAATCTGTAACTTTTAATTAATGCATTGTAAATTAAGTTGGAACAATAGCTTTAGATCTCTGATCTATCTTTCCAACGAGATATAATACGCTCCAAACGGATAAACACACAGCTAGATATGAGTGTCACAAATACATAGCCTTATCCCTATGATTTAGCATTTTCAGCGAAAATAGAGCACTTTTAGCGTAAATACAGTGTATTTTAGTAATTGGGCAATCATCCCTTGATATTCTGAAACCAGAGCCTGAAGACAAGTTTTAGAACTCGGTAAGATCTTTCAACGAGATATTAAACGCTTTCAACAGCACAAAATAGAGCAATTTATGATCACATTTAATTTTACACGAGTTCGGAGTGAAATCAGAAACATTTGTGAATATATGGTTAATCTGTAACTATTAATTAATGCATTGTAAATGAAGTTGGAACAATAGCTTTAGAGCTTCGATCTATCTTTCCAACGAGATATAATACGCTCGAAACGGATAAACACACAGCAAGATATGAGTGTCATAAATACTTAGCCTTATCTTTATGATTTAGCGTTTTCAGCAAAAATAGAGCACTTTTAGCGTAAATACAGTGTATTTTAGTAATTAGGCCATCGTCCCTTGATATGTTGAAACCAGCGCCTGAAGACATGTTTTAGAACTCGGTAAGAACTTTCCAACGAGATATTAAACGCTTTCAACGACACAAAATAGAGCAAGATGTGATCGCCTCAAATTCTACACGAGTTCGGAGTGAAATCAGAAACATTTGTGAATATATGGTTAATCTGTAACTTTTAATTAATGCATTGTAAATGAAGTTGGAACAATAGCTTTAGAGCTCCGATCTATCTTCCCAACGAGATATAATACGATCCAAACGGATAAACACACAGCAAGATATGAGTGACACAAATACTTAGCCTTATCTCTATGATTTAGCGTTTTCAGCGAAAATAGAGCACTTTTAGCGTAAATACAGTGCATTTTAGTAATTAGGCAATCATCCCTTAATATTTTGAAACCAGCGCCTGAAGACATGTTCTAGAACTCGGTATGATCTTTCCAACGAGATATTAAACACTTTCAGCGGCACAAAATAGAGCAAGATATGATCGCATCAAATTCTACACGAGTTCGGAGTGAAATCAGAAACATTTGTGAATATATGGTTAATCTGTAACTTTTAATTAATTCATTGTAAATGAAGTTGGAACAATAGCTTTACAGCTCCGATCTATCTTTCCAACGAGATATAAAACGCCCAAAACGGATAAACACACAGCAGGATATGAGTGTCACAAATACTTAGCCTTATCTCTATGATTTAGCGTTTTCAGCGAAAATAGAGCACTCTTGGCGTAAATACAGTGTATTTTAGTAATTAGGCAATCATCCCTTGATATTCTGAAACCAGAGCCTGAAGACAAGTTTTAGAACTCGGTAAGATCTTTCAACGAGATATTAAACGCTTTCAACAGCACAAAATAGAGCAATTTATGATCACATTTAATTTTACACGAGTTCGGAGTGAAATCAGAAACATTTGTGAATATATGGTTAATCTGTAACTATTAATTAATGCATTGTAAATGAAGTTGGAACAATAGCTTTAGAGCTTCGATCTATCTTTCCAACGAGATATAATACGCTCGAAACGGATAAACACACAGCAAGATATGAGTGTCATAAATACTTAGCCTTATCTTTATGATTTAGCGTTTTCAGCAAAAATAGAGCACTTTTAGCGTAAATACAGTGTATTTTAGTAATTAGGCCATCGTCCCTTGATATGTTGAAACCAGCGCCTGAAGACATGTTTTAGAACTCGGTAAGAACTTTCCAACGAGATATTAAACGCTTTCAACGACACAAAATAGAGCAAGATGTGATCGCCTCAAATTCTACACGAGTTCGGAGTGAAATCAGAAACATTTGTGAATATATGGTTAATCTGTAACTTTTAATTAATGCATTGTAAATGAAGTTGGAACAATAGCTTTAGAGCTCCGATCTATCTTCCCAACGAGATATAATACGATCCAAACGGATAAACACACAGCAAGATATGAGTGACACAAATACTTAGCCTTATCTCTATGATTTAGCGTTTTCAGCGAAAATAGAGCACTTTTAGCGTAAATACAGTGCATTTTAGTAATTAGGCAATCATCCCTTGATATTTTGAAACCAGCGCCTGAAGACATGTTCTAGAACTCGGTATGATCTTTCCAACGAGATATTAAACACTTTCAGCGGCACAAAATAGAGCAAGATATGATCGCATCAAATTCTACACGAGTTCGGAGTGAAATCAGAAACATTTGTGAATATATGGTTAATCTGTAACTTTTAATTAATTCATTGTAAATGAAGTTGGAACAATAGCTTTACAGCTCCGATCTATCTTTCCAACGAGATATAAAACGCCCAAAACGGATAAACACACAGCAGGATATGAGTGTCACAAATACTTAGCCTTATCTCTATGATTTAGCGTTTTCAGCGAAAATAGAGCACTCTTGGCGTAAATACAGTGTATTTTAGTAATTAGGCAATCATCCCTTGATATTCTGAAACCAGAGCCTGAAGACAAGTTTTAGAACTCGGTAAGATCTTTCAACGAGATATTAAACGCTTTCAACAGCACAAAATAGAGCAATTTATGATCACATTTAATTTTACACGAGTTCGGAGTGAAATCAGAAACATTTGTGAATATATGGTTAATCTGTAACTATTAATTAATGCATTGTAAATGAAGTTGGAACAATAGCTTTAGAGCTTCGATCTATCTTTCCAACGAGATATAATACGCTCGAAACGGATAAACACACAGCAAGATATGAGTGTCATAAATACTTAGCCTTATCTTTATGATTTAGCGTTTTCAGCAAAAATAGAGCACTTTTAGCGTAAATACAGTGTATTTTAGTAATTAGGCCATCGTCCCTTGATATTCTGAATCCAGAGCCTGAAGACAAATTTTAGAACTCGGTAAGATCTTTCAACGAGATATTAAACGCTTTCATAAGCACAAAATAGAGCAATTTATGATCACATTTAATTTTACACGAGTTCGGAGTGAAATCAGAAACATTTGTGAATATATGGTTAATCTGTAACTTTTAAATAATGCATTGTAAATGAAGTTGGAACAATAGCTTTAGAGCTTCGATCTATCTTTCCAACGAGATATAATACGCTTGAAACCGATAAACACACAGCAAGATATGAGTGTCATAAATACTTAGCCTTATCTTTATGATTTAGCGTTTTCAGCAAAAATAGAGCACTTTTAGCGTAAATACAGTGTATTTTAGTAATTAGGCAATCGTCCCTTGATATGTTGAAACCAGCGCCTGAAGACATGTTTTAAAACTCGGTAAGAACTTTCCAACGAGATATTAAACGCTTTCAACGGCACAAAATAGAGCAAGATGTGATCGCCTCAAATTCTACACGAGTTCGGAGTGAAATCAGAAGCATTTGTGAATATATGGTTAATCTGTAACTTTTAATTAATGCATTGTAAATGATGTTGGAACAATAGCTTTAGAGTTCCGATCTATCTTTCCAACGAGATATAATACGATCCAAACGGATAAACACACAGCAAGATATGAGTGACACAAATACTTAGCCTTATCTCTATGATTTAGCGTTTTCAGCGAAAATAGAGCACTTTTAGCGTAAATACAATGCATTTTAGTAATTAGGCAATCATCCCTTGATATTTTGAAACCAGCGCCTGATAGGGATTTTGATATTTTGAAACCAGCGAAATGTGTGGGATTTTGTCCCACACCATAGGGATTCACAACTAATGAAGAAACTGGCCATGGTTCGGGATGAAATTGTCTCCAAATTTGAGGATGTGGCTGATACTATTCGTTTCTTGAACTCTTTTCAAGCTAAAGGTAAACTTGTATCCTCAAAAGTCTATGACCTACTTAGAATTAAAGGCCCTACCCGTAGGTGGATGGCCTTTATTTGGAAGGATTATATCCCCCCAAGTTTTCCTTTACTACTTGGTTGGCATTCCGGAATAGGTTAGCTACATGTGATAATCTTCATAGATTAGATGTAGTTAACACTTGTG